TGGAAGGATGTGGGGGGGAGGCCAAAGGTTTTTACTGGGGGGGCTGTGTAAGCGCAAGTGTGCAATTCAGAGATCAATGGAGAAAAAGAGAGCAGAGGTTTGGAAACAGTTCTTAAAAACAAGACGAAAGAGAGAGAGAATAAAACATCATGAGCTGAAGACCATTTCTGCTAGTTTGGGAATATTCGGCAGGGGATTTAAAAAACAGGCTACCAACTTTTGAATCACTGTTCAGGCTGGTAAGCAGAACTCAAAAACATGCTTGCCTTCCTCTGAATTCCCCACCCTTCGGTTGCTCTTCCCCCTTTTTCTGTTCAAAACACATCTCTTTTGCCCCCTTGACTCTTATTTACTCTTTTTTTTAAAAAAAAAAAAATTCTTCTAGCAGCACCTTGGCGCTTTTTCCCTTCTCTTTTTACAACAGCGAACGAAACTGCTCAGGCCAGAAGAGTCTGCCTTCCCCATCGTTTAAAAAAAATTCTGTGTGTTCTAGAGGTGGAAGTGCAGGCTTTTCTGTTTTTTTATTTTATTTTATTTTACTATTCCTAGCAACATGTTGGTACTAGATCTAGTGCTGATATGAAGGGGGGTTCGCCAGATGAAAAAAGATCTACATAAATATATATCTATATATATATATATAAAGCAGAGTGGGCGGGGGGGTGAATACTGTGCAGTTGAACCTTTTTTGTTTGTTTCTGGGCAAAATGGGGGGGTCTGGTATTTTGTTAGCTGCAACTTAGATAATTTAAAAAACAGCCATTGCTCTACAGGGGGGAAGGGCCTCTCTTCAGATATGACTGTTGCATTGTAATAAAAAAAAATCTAACTTTTCCCCCCTACCTCTTTTGTAAGCGCTCAGCCATATAAAAAAATACAGCGGGTATTTTCCTGTCTACAGGAGGATCCCCTTCTCTGCAGGATTAGTATCCGCTGATTCACTCATCTGAAAACACTAAAAAAATACATATATTAAAAGAAAATATATTTTTTTAACAATGAAGTGACCAGAACTGACCACTGGAAAGAGCCAGAGAGTTCACTGTAAAAAAATCTTTCCACTATGTCATGACCAGAACTGGCCATAAGAGGGAGCCAGAGACCATGGGTTCACTATTAAAATAGGGTTCTCTATTACAGTATCTGTTTTTCAGCATCCGCGGGGAGGCTTGGAAGTGACCCTTGTGGATGTGGGAATCTTATTGTAGATTCACTCCTCTTGAACACCCACCCTGTTCAGATGAGAGAGCAGGGGCAAAAAGAAAGGACAGACAGAACCAGCCATGCTCTTGGGGTTTACACAAGTGTGTATTTGTGTGTGTGAATCATCGGGCTGGGAAACAACGCTGGGCGACCCCGGGGCAGTGGTTCTGCTTCCCAACTGCCCGGCCTCACAGCAGGTGTAAGGACGAGGATGCCTCAACCACCTTAGGGGAAAGAACGGGGTAGGGATCTATCCCAGGAATTAATTATAAGGAATAAAATATAGGTTGAAACTTCCAGAGTCTTCAAGCCAGAGCAGGAAATAGCTAGACCCTTCTGAATTCCCATGATCCTGGAACAACCTTTCTTCCAGGACTCATGGGAGTTGGAATCCTTCTACATCTGAAGGACGGCAAAGTTTCTGGGTTTTTTAAAACTTCGGAGACTGTTTTGCCCCTTCTGAAATCCGCTCATGGTTCTCTTCGGTCGGGCAACAGAACTGGTGAAGATGGACCTGAATTTTATTTTTTAAAACCACCGGCCGTTCATTCTCTCTGGTTCTTTGGTTACCCTGCCCTCAGACTGCTGCCCATCAGGGCCGAGTGCAGAGTTCCAGTTTCCACGTTTGTGTGTCTCTCTGTTGGTGGGTTCCCCTGAAAAATGTGCATTGGGGGGGGGGATTTAACCAGCAGTGGCAGAGCTATTCAAAAGAGGAGAGAGGGAGATTGGCATGTTTTGCCATTTTTTTAAAACAAGAAAAGCTCTGTGGGTTGACTTGAATCCAGCCACTTTTGGGGTCCAGAAAATACCTCTCTGCCTTTGAGCATGTGTTGGCTCTGCTAATTGCATGTCATGCGTTAATATGCCATTTCCTTCCTGCTGATACCAGAAATGGGGGTGGGGGGGTGAATGTAGGATGATGGGCCCTATTCCTAGTTAACAGCAGTGTTTGGGAAAGTTGGGTGTAGCAGGGAAAGAGGAGGCCTTGATGTGAGTTGGATTCACCCACTAAAGGAGCCACAGCCCTTGAGTTTGCAAGGCTCATGGTAACACCTTGCAGAAGTCACTCAGTCCTTGGGGTGTGGGTGTGACTTAATGACGCAACACGCACGTGTGAGTCCGTTTCTGCGTTCATGCAGTTTTCAGAGTGTATCAATATTCTTTTTTCCCCCCAAGCCGAACAGAAACTGGAGAAATCAGGTGCAAACTGAAAGCCTCTGTTGGTTCTGACCAGGATTCCCCATGATCTGGTGCCCTTCGAAAGGATGAAGACAACAATGCCCCTCTCCAGTCTCCCCTGTGGCCCTAGGGATGATGGAGGGTCGAGTACAAAACTTTGTAAGGCTGTTCTGGCCCATCTGGTTTAGATTTTTTTTAAAAAAAATCGTCTTTGGAGGTCAATGGCGCTCTGCACGTGCTCAGACTCACTGGTGCCTGAAAAGGAGGGGGGAGTTTAAAAGTTAATATGTGAATGCTCTTTGTGGGCGTATATACGGTAACGATGCCGGCCGGCAGCCTCCAAGAAGAAGGGACAGAAAGTAGAGTGCACGTATAAAGGAGTGAATGCGGTATCCTCCAGAGACCGGGGAACGCCTCTTCACGTGACCTCAGGGAGGGTCGCGGAATGGCTCCGGCGCGAAGTCATGCCCCCCACGGCGCTTCTTTCGTGACGTCACGGCGGGGACGCCAAGCGACGGCTGCCCGCTTGCAAGATGGCGGCGGCTGGAGCAGCCGGGGCGGCCCGGAAGGTGAAGCAGGACATGCCGCCGCCGGGAGGCTACGGGCCCTTCGACTACAAGCGGCATCTGGCCCGCAAGCGCTTTTCGGGTGAGGAGGGTGGGCGGGAAGGGGAGACACCCCTCCCAGCCCGGACGCCTGGATTCCCCCTAAGCTGGTGAGGGGGACCTCCCTGGACTCGGACGCCTGGGTCCCTTAAGACGACGGGAGGGGGATTTCTCTGGAACTCAGGAGGTGGGGGGGATTTCAAGCCCCGGACGCCTGGGTCCCAAAGAAACAGAAGGATGAGGGTCAGTCCTGAAGGCCCGGACGCCTGGGTCCCTCAGAGGAGCTGGACAGAGACCCTCCCCCCGAGATCTGGAGGCTGGTTCTCCCAAGGGGCCCGCAAGCGCTTTTCGGGTGAGGAGGGGGGGCGGGAAGGGGAGACACCCCCCAGCCCGGACGCCTGGGTTCCCCCTAATCTAGTAAGGGGGGGGCTCCCTAGACTCGGACGCCTGGGTCCCTTAAGGGGGGTTTCTCTGGAACTCAGGTGGTGGTGGGGATTTCAAGGCCCGGACGCCTGGGTCCCTCAGAGGAGCTGGACAGAGACCCTCCCCCCGAGATCTGGAGGCTGGTTCTCCCAAGGTTTTTGTTTTGGGGCGGGGGGGGGGTCACTCAGCCCTCCCGAGACCCGGACGCCTGGGTTCCTGGGAGAAGCAGGCGGACCTGCGCTCCCTGTTCCTCCATGAGGACTAGAAACTGGTGGTGGTTGTCTTAACGACCCTTTCGCCTCTGAGCGATGCAGAACTTTTGAACTGCTTTAATGGCTAATTTTATACCGCCCAGAGTAGATTTATCTAGATCGGCAGTGTAAAAGCCAAATAAATAAATAAATCCCCCTTTCTTTTTCTCCTCCCTCTCTTCCTCCTATTGCAGGCTACAGCCTATTTGCAATGGGCATTGCGGTATTTGCCTATGGCTGCTACCGCTTCAAAACGTGGAACCGTGAGAGGAAGTAAGTATCCCAGGAGACCACCTGAAAAATAGGGTCGCTTCCCCCCCCACACCCTTGGCTGTATCTCTGAGTCGTTAAGAGTAACCGGGGGACCCTGCTAGATGGGGAAGAGGTCCCGGTGTGAGCGGTGACAAGAATCGACCATACCTGCAAATAGGGCATTAAAAAGGATTGTGGGGTGGAAATCAGGACACCAATCCCTGCTTTGCTGGGGAGAATCTCAAGCTACTCATGATTTCTCCCCCTGACCTGCTCCACAAGGGTGTCGTCAGGATGAAATGGGGAGAGAAGGTTCCTTCGCTAGTTTAAGTATAAAGATATAAATAAAAAGAGCAGGGTCAGCTGCATTGTCACCTCGACCTGTCTCAAAAGATGAGTCAAAACTCTGGCAAAGTTAATAAGGATCCTTTCCCATTTTGGTTTTCGGTGTGGCAATTTCCTGATTTCCTTGATTCGGGGCTTGGCGGATCAGAAGATGCAAAAAGTTTCTGATCCATCAGGTTAAAACCTTTCCGTTTTTCGGGCTCTTTCCCCCTTCCTCATCTCCACCCCAAATCTTTTAGGCGCTTACACATTGAGGACTTAGAGGCCAGGATCGGGATCCTTCCACTTCTGATCGCCGAGGAAGACCGAAGGTACGTTGGCAGTGTTTCCTCTGTCCCGGTCCTTAAAAAAAGATCCCCCCCAAAAGATCTCCTGTGACACGGAGCTCAGAATACAGTGGTGCCGTACTTGACGATTACGTCGTTAGATGAGGAAATCGCTTAACAATGTTTGTATGGGTTTTTTTCGTTTAACGACGATCAGTTCCCTGCTTTGGGAACCGATTTTTCCCTTAACGACGATCAAAACAGCTGATCGTCAGGTTTTCAAAATGGCGCCCGCTATGCAAAATGGCTCCCCGCTGTGTTTTAGGACAGATTCCTCACTATACAGGCACCGGAAAATGGCCGCCCTATGGAGGATCTTTGCTGGACGCTGAGGTATTTCACCCATTGGAATGCATTGAACCAGTTTTCAATGTATTTCAATGGGTTTTTTACTTTCGCTTGACAACAATTTTGTTCTACAATGATTTTGGTGGAACGGATTATCCTTGTCAAGCGAGGTACCACTGTATGTTGATATCACCCCTGCTCCCATTGATTGTCAGTTCTTTGGGAGTCCAAAATTGCTCCGGTTTCGCCTCTTAATGTTTATTAATCTGGATTCTCTCCCTCCTTTTCTCTTCCTAGGCTACTCCGCATCCTGCGGGAAAACTTTGAAGAGGAGGCCAAGATTATGAAAGACGTCCCAGGATGGCAGGTGGGAGCCCATAAACTGGAAGTTCACGAGTCACGGCCCAAACCTAGGCCCCATTTAGTAGCCGCCATTTGGGATCTGCTACTTGTTTGCCCCTTTCATGGCCTCAGGAGTGGAGGGACCTGTTCAGAAATGGGCATTCGCCTGTGGCGAGCAGAGCTCTTTCCAGACATTTCAGGCAGGACTGTGCCAGCCTGGTGCTGCAGCGGCGCCCTCCGTGGGCGGTGGCCAGCCATCATCTCTGCATATCTCAGTCAAGCTGCCCCATGGTTCCTTGGTGCATCTGGGTGTTTGCATTCCCCCCCAAAACCCTAACCCTGACCCCTTTTCTCCCTCCTTCTCTTGCACAGGTGGGCGAGTCTCGTTTCCACACCACGCGTTGGGTGCCCCCACTTCCTGATGAGCTCTACTACCTGTACCCACAGAGTGTGATGGACCAGGCCACTTTAGGTTACCAGAATTACCTATGAAAGGGGACAGAGTTGGCAGGCAGCGGGTGAGCCTGGCTGGGCAGGGCCGCTGTAGGCTCGACACCCCCTTCTCCCAAAAATGGATCTATTTCTCAATAAACGACTTATGGAGGAAATAGGGGTGTTGCTGTATGCATACATGTGGGGTCTCCTCTGTCTTCCATCTCAGCCAGAGCAGGGACTCGGAAATACGGGATCCATAGAATATTTGCCATGCGTTGTCCTTGTCCTTTGGCAGCAACAAAATAAATGTTTGCACACAACAGCTACGAACACAGGAGTGCCTTGAAGGCAGGTTTTATTTGCTCCGAGCTTAACGAACCTTCAGCCGAAAGGCCAGTGTCGCCAGAAGCTGCATCAGCTACTGGAGAACGTCTACTCCGTCGCTTGACTTGTGGAACTTCCAAGGAAAGCATTTTTTCCTCGTAGAAAAAGAGGTGCCTGGCGCTTCCTGCGCACCATCCGCTGGGCCGCTTTGCTGAGGCCGGATCCGCGGAAGTTCGAGGGACGGACTCAGTTTCTCCCTAGAAAAGGCCGGGAGGGGTGAACAGGAATACCGCCGCGTCCCTCTTTGCTTTCACATCCTCGTTTCGATGCAACATCCGGAAACTTTGCTCTGCTTTCCGGTTTTGCTAACTGCAAATTTCACAACGCTGAAATCCCAGAGGGGTTTTCTCCTCCAAAAGTTTTGGATGGGCTTTTTGTGTGTGCTGCATCCTGGAGAGCCTGCCTCCCCCCCACTGGATGTATGCAAGTAGACAGTTTGGGAGGGGGAGTGCCCCACAGCTTATTTGGGGATGCAGAGGCCCGAATACAACTCTGTTCATCGGAAAGTGTTGCTTTTTATCACGAGAAGGCCATTTTGATATGAAATACAGTAAGACCCACCCATCTGCTGATTCACTTATCTGCTGCCTGTGGATACCGCGATATCCACAGAGGATTGGTTTGAAGCCCCCCCAATGCCAAAAAAGCTTAAGTATTGAATGCTATACAGTACGAGGCATGTTCTGGCTTCCTCTAGTGGCCAGTTCCGGTAAATACTCCCTAGAAATGGTTATTTCTGTGGGTTTTTATTTGGTGTTTTTCGGCAGGGCATAAGTGAATCAGTGAATAGTAATCCACAAATTGCAGAGTCCTACTATACTAAAATTTAAAAACCCAGATATATGCATATGTATTTCCAGTGGATATTTACCAGAACTGGCCACTAAAGGGAGACGGAGACAATGTAATAGATAGCATTCTATACGTCTGCTTTTTCCGTATTTGCTTAGGAGGTGGGAGCTTTGAGCCATTTCCTCGTGGATATTGTTTGGGGTCTCTGGAAGTGAAATTTAAGGCTTGGGTTGAGTGTAGAACCCTTTTCAGGAGTTCAATCATGGGGTTACCGAGTCTCAGCATTCCCTGCATTCAGCCTCAAAAGACGGGAGTGACAGACCAGAAAACATCCAAAGGGCTGGGAGTTTTCCACTCTGGGAACAAGAACGTCATGACAGCAGGAGGATTTTTAAAAACCCTCCTGACACATCTCTCATACCTTCTCCCTCGGCCCTCTGGGTGTTCTGAGGACTACATCTCCCATCTTCTGAGGCTGAAAGCAGATCGGAAAAGTGGAGGAGTTATTTGGGAAGTGGCTCTTGACATCTCAGACTCCCACATGGCCCTGGGAGATTTTAATTCCCCCCCTTGCCCCCCAAAATAGAATTCTCCCAAGTTTTTTCCCAGTCAAACTTGGATTTCTGCCCTTCTAAGCCATCTGGTCCTCACAAAGACCCTGTGCAGACTACAGCCCAAGAGTTTTGTGGCTTGCTGGGGACTCGAACCCAGGCCTCGCCAAACTGCTTTAAGCCATCCCAGCTGCCTTTATTTATTTTTTTTACAGCACTGCTGGTCGTACTGGTGTGGATCCGGAACCCGCTATTCCGTGGCGTAAAATGGGCTCCAATCGAGTTTGGAAAAGTTGACCTCTCTTTTCCTCAGGTCTGAAAACTTTCAGAAATGTCCCCAGACTAGCTGGCAAAACAGAAAAAGGGTGACCTCAACCAACTTACCCGAGATCTCTTGCGTTTGGGTGGTTTGTTGAGAGTTCCTCATGCAAAGCGCTCAGGATTTTTACGATCACAAGATGGTGTTTGCTGGTCGTGGTTTCCTCTAGCTTCCGCAGCAGGAGCCGAGTGGGAAGATGGAAATCCGGGGAAGGAGCAGCCGGCTGCAATGAAGAACACAAGGACACACACAGACACACCAGCTTGACTGCTGGGGCTCAACCTTGATGGCTATGCCGCCCGGGAAGCATGAATTAGCTTTTCGCAATTCATCACTAGGGAGAATTTTGTTTTAACTGGCATCTTCTCCATGGCCCTGATCCGAGACAATAGGTCTCAGATGGAAGGAGGGACGCTCATTCAGACAGCTGTAAAAATATCCAGCTGGGAAGTTGGTCCAAATTGGGGGGCGGGGGGGACCTGTCCATGAATGGGTTTTTGGGGCTCTTGATTTCTGATTTCTTAAAGTCATTTTTGCCTCCCACCACAGAAAGCGCATGATGTTATTCTTTCTGGGGAGCCCTGGCTAAGATCTCGGGGAGCAACAAAAACTGAACGGGCCTCCCGTTCAAAACAAAACAGAAGCTTTCGTCCCTTTGAGCTGTTTTTGGAAAATTCTGATCCGAGAGGGTTTCTGAAACAAGGGGCAGAACAGAGAGGAAATGTCTTGCTCCCAAACCCAAACCCAGCAGCCTCTTCCCTATCCCCAATTCCAAGGGGCAACTTCCCGCAAAACCCTCACCCCACCAACAGCACCATCCCCATTGTGTGAATTTATCCTTACTCGTCCGGCAGAACTCTCTGCTTCCGCCTGCAGTGGGAGTTTTGGGAGAATCCTGGGGAGGAAAACCGGAGAGCTGAGCCGGGGCTGAAGCGTCACCACCGCCGGCGAGCAGTTCCTCAGAAGCCACGGCTGGGGTTCTTCCGAGGTCTTGATGCTTTTTGGGTCAAGGCTGGGTGTTTCGAGGGAGTCCGTCCTTGAAGGCCAAGAGGGGTCCTTAACAAGGACTTCAGCCTTGGGACGGATGGAAGTCCTCCTTAGAGTGTGGGGACTTCTTCCACCATGGAGATCTTCTCCTCGACCCCTAGGACCTTCATGTTTTCCACCAACAGGGTGTTTACCATCCGTGATGCCTCCATTTCCCCCATCAATGTGGTCTTCTCCTGCTCCGTCTGTGATATCTTCTCTTCTTCCACCAAGGAAGCCTCTTACCCCCGGATCCTCGAGATCTTCTCCGCTAGACCTCTCACGGTTGGATGAAGAACATCCACCTCCCTGGGGGACCCTCTCTGACATTTCCCCCTGCCGTGAACCTAAGGGCTCTGCCACCTTCTCCAGAAGGGGCCACAGGTCAACCCAGATGGTTTTGACGGCCCGTTTCTCTGGAGAAGCTAAATTTTGGGGTGCGGGGAGCAGTGGATCAAGTAAGCGGGATCTTAGTGGAAGTAACTCTCTTCTGTCTTCTGGGAACATCTCCTGCTGAGGACGGAGGGGTGGTGTGGCCTCAATCCTTTTGCCCTCACTCCTGAGATGGACCTTTGGAGATGCCCCCGAGATTCGGTCATACTTTGGCATTCCTTGGGCCGCCACTGGAATAAAAGAGAAGATTGGAGCAATGGGCAAATCTCTTGACCCATGTAATTGTTCCTTTGAGGAAAACGTGCCATCCTACAACATGAGTTGTGGATTTCCTACACTGCCAAGGGGTTGGGTTAGATGACCTTTGGGGTGCCCGTCGTTCTTAAAAGAGATCTCAAAAAAAATCTGTATTTTTTCTGACCCAAACTTTTGCTTTTTGCACATCCGAATCTCTGCGAAGCCACTGTGATGCTTCGGATTTGGACTCGGTCACTTGTGGAGGAGGACCTGAGTTCACATTCTTGTTTGGACTCACATGGTGACCTTCGGTCGTTTTCTCTCTCTCTTTCTCTTTCAAATTATCCTACCTTACAGGGTGGTTGTAAAGCTAAAACAGGAAAGTGGAGAGGAAATTTGGGGTAAAAATCAGACAGGTTAACTCAAGGAAGTATCCAGTACAAATCTAGCATTTGTTTCCGTAAGACAATGTGTGATAAGGAGTGGAAGCCATACCTTTCCCTCGAGCCTCGCTCTGGGGCCTCCGGGACACCACGTCGGCCCAAACGATGCGGGATGACCCGGATGGATCCTGGCAGCCAGAACCCAGCAGCATAGTGGTGTCGGCTTTTGGGAGCAGCTGACCTCTTGCAAAGGCTTCTTTGAGGGTTTTGCAGCTCACCTCTAGCACAGCTGTGTCGCAGAGCTTATAACCACTGGCCCGTCTCTCTCTACGTGGTGGTCATCCAGGCACATTTGGTGGAAGGAGGGGGGAAAACAAGATAGGCAGATATGATCCGAGACACCGCCACCCGTGGGATCCACTGGATTTTGCTTCCTGATCCAGGTACCTTGTATTTGGGAAACCTGTTTCTGGAGAGATTACTGCAGACCTTCCCCGGGTGGCGTTCAGAAACAACCAAGTAACTAAGCAATAAAATCTCCGGTCAGACAGCCCAGTCGTCAACGACAAGGAGGAAGCGAGGCTTTTAATTACAACCTGGCCAACCACCCTGCGAGGATGGGTGGACGGAGAGGCCAGCCTGGCGGCTGTTTGCTTTTCGGCAGAATCTGGCGAGCGTGCCAAGGCGTAGGAGAAACATGGATCGCTTCCTGCAGAATTTCAGTTTGAACTTTCTTTGTGCTTCCCCATAATGGGTCATAGGCACAAATAAAATAAATACGGAATAAGCAATGTATGGTCGTTAAACCAAGGTCCTAAACATGAGATCAAAACGGGTACAGCACAAAAGATGATAGGAAAGGAGGGGTAGGATTATTTGCAAAACCGAGGCTTACCCACAATGGTGCTGTGACAAGCAGGCAAGTTCATTCCTCATATAAAACCCAGGGCCTGCCAACAAACAGTGCATCTTTTTGACTATTAAAAGTAGCGTATGAAAGAAAAGAGTGCAGAAAACTGTTTCTATAAAGCATGCAAACTCTTATGTCTAGTTGCATTTTTAAATTGTCATTTAATTTTATATGGTGGAAAGTGCTTTGAGAGGAAAGGCAGGGGAGAGATAGAGATGATGAGACAAAAGGAGGAAGGACAGACGGAAAGAAGAGATAGATAGATAGATAGATAGATAGATAGATAGATAGATAGATAGATAGATAGATAGATAGATAGATAGATAGATAGATAGATAGATAGATAGATAGATGCAATAGTAATGAACAATACTAATAATTCAGGAATAGCATAGAATGCCATAACAATAAACCATAGTCTATAAAACTATTATTTTATTAGTTATGGTATATATGATCCACAGGTTTCCTTCCAGCGCTGCAGTTCTAAGATGATGATGATTCTAGTATGTAGCAATAATGCAACAGGATATAATATAGCAATAGAAAGTAGCAGTAGCACATAAACTTAAATTCTTATTAATAGTATATAGCACTAGTGTGCCATAATACAGAAAGAGTATGTAAATACTCTTTTACTCTAACATTTTAAATACAATGATTATTTAATTCTTTTAAAAATATTTTAAGAAACGACTGTTTATTTATTGTTTAAGACTAATTAATTACTCTGTCATAAATTCACTGTCAGATACTGCCTCTTTTTTTCAGTGCTCTAAGCCCTCAGAGGCTTTGTTTTTTATCGAGGAAGGCGAGACACAAGAACATTTTAAATAAATTAAATGATGGTGAGGAGGAGGGGGTTGTTTTAAGACCCTTGGAGCTGTTGTGAGTCTGTGCAAACAGATCAAGCAAAATCTAAAGAACCAACAACAGAAACCAAAAAGGGGACAAACGGGTGGCAGATTCAAGAGATACACTTTTTAATGTGAAATTCTGTATTTCAGTTTGTTTGCATATCTGAAGACGTGGGCCTGATCCACTAAAGCTCACATTAAAATATAGTAGTTGAAGGTGCACGTATTTTTGTCGTCACTGGCTATAAACCCAAACAGTAACCCTAAACCCAAACAGTAACCCTAATGGGGGCAAAAATAATCACGCAATGCAGCCCTTCAAGTAAATCAGGAAACGATGGTAGGTTTTGCTCTTGGTGAGGATGACTGCAGGCCCTCATTTTCTTGGGAAGTTATCCTCTTTGGGGCTTCTTTGCAAAATATGGAACGCTTCACGAATTTGCGTGTCATCCTTGCGCAGGGGCCATGCTAATCTTCTCTGTATCGTTCCAATTTTAGTATATGTGCTGCCGAAGCGAGCACAAACCTTAACATAGCCCAAAAACTATATAAAGGGCTCACTCTGGACATAGTACAAGATATGGTGACCGCAGGAAAAGTTGGCTGTTTCTTAGAATTTATTCTTCTGTTCTTTTTCTTTTCTCTTCTTTTGTTCTTTTCATATGAATTTTCCCTTCTCTGGAGCGAGATTGTCGGGAAATTGGAGCAGAAATGTCACAAACGCAGCAAAACCCTTGATATTGCGTTTCCCCGGGGCATGATGGGAAAAACGGAGGCGAAGAGGCTGGGGATCTGCATTTTGCAAGGGGCTTCGGGTCAAAGAGGTCAGGAGCGATTCTTGAACTCATCCACTTCCAGTTCCCATGGGCAGCTCCTCTCTGAATGTTAAATTAGGTGTGCAAAGATGATTTTAAGCAGTATTTAAGGCTTGGTTTTGGGTTTTAATTTTTTTTAGCGTTGCCCTGGTTTTGAGACCCTCCTGCTGTCTGTGAAAGAGGTCTGTTGTTCTTTTCATTAGCCATCATTGTTTTATTGGGATTATCCTAATTATCCAGGGGCTTTGCATAGAATAAAAAGTCTGCAGAAAGCAACCAGTTTCCAGGAAAAGGGATAAAACAGGAGCAATAATCTCCTGCTTTCCAAAAGACTCTGCCAGTCCCTTAATTTGGGGCCTGGGGGGAGGTTTGTTTCTCTTTGCTGCTGATTGATTGATTGATTGATTGGATCCTGCAAGGGAGAAAAGCCGCGATTTAAATTAAAGTTCGGAATGGGTGAAGAAAGAAACCCTCAACACGACAGGCAGAAATCCAACAGGTGGGGAGGACGCATCTCTGGAAGTGGGAGGGGGGCAGCTAGAGCATAGGGGGCAGGGAAAAAAACAAGACTGCTGGGTGGATTTCCACCCACCCTCATTAGCACCCGTACATTATTGGATTTTAATGAGGATGGAAAAATGCTTTGGGAAACGCGTCTCACTTTTTTTCCATTTTCAAGGGACTGCCCAAAGGGGATGCAGTGAAGCTAGAGATGAGTCCAACGCTTCCGGTAACCCATCGACGTAGAGGGGAACTTATTTTGTATAGCAAATATTAATATTTATTAATATTCTTAATATTTATTTCTTGATTCAGTTCTCCTCGGGTCCTTATTCTGCGTTTCCCAATCGATCAATTAGGGTTGAGGAGGGGGGCAGCCCCCTTTTTGGCAAGTTCAAAGGGGATGGGGTGAAGCTGGCGGGGAACTCGACACTTCCGGTTACAGGTCGAGAGAGAGGGAGAGAGAGAGAGGCAGAGCTCCTTTGTTTAATAGCCAATATGAATACTTATTCACTATGTTCATAATAATATTGTTACTATCATCCTTCATCTTTGTTCATTTAAATTTTAAAGTATTTTTACCCCTACCAAGCACCCGAGGCGGCTTAGATAATTGAAAATACGGTATTTAAAAGCCTTAAGTAAGTAAATATTTTTAAAGAAGGATTATATGGAAAAACGGCAATTAAAATCAATGCTATTAATTAATGTTGTTTGTATTTCTTTAATGAACTCTCTCTTCCATGTCGCTCGGCAAACCGGAAGTGTGGCTTCTGCCCCACCCCCCGCCAGCTTCACCGCATCCCCTTTGGGACGGTCGCCCCCTCTCTCTCCCCCTCTTTTCTCTTTCTCGGGCCAGCTGGGCGGGGCTTCCTCACTTCCGCTCCGCCCATCTACTCAACGCCCGTCCGGCCTTCCTTTCCCAGCGTCCCTTGCGTCAGCGGCGCGGGAGGAAGGGAGGGAGGCAGGGTAGCGGGCGACGGAGGCGAACAAAATGGCGGCGGCCGGGTGCGGACGCGAAGGGGGACTGCGGGGTGGCTAATTTTCGGGGGGCGGCCGTTGAAAAGGGGGGAAGGAGGATTTTGGGGGGG